ATTAATTTTATTTTCCAGTTTTTTTTTTTTAACAATTTCATTAAATAATTCTAAATATTATTGTTCTAACTTTTTTTAACAATTTCATTAAATAATTATTACTTACAAAATAATATTTTTGAAAAAAACATAACATATTTTCAATTTTTATCATTATCATTATCAACAGTAATATTTATCCTGTATAAATAACAAGATTCATTTGAAAAACATAATATGTTACATCATGCTATTACACTACACAACCAAAAACCTTTAAATTCTTAAACCATTTGGTTAATGGACTCTAATACTCTGGTCCCAAAGCAAAGTCAAAGCAGCAAATTTCTGTATGTACGTCAGAAAGTTAGCAATAAGTAATGTAATTGTTTGAAAGTAATATATTTTGAAGTTATGAACAAATTTGTGTTATGGTAGGTAACTAAAATATTCAACAAATCTTCATAATATTTTAGATACAAAATAGTATATGTATTCCAATAATCACATTTTTATAAATATTAAAATTATGTTTCAAATACAATAATTTGAAAATAAAATAATACAATTATCTGAAGAAAGCAATACAAGTGGTAGTTGATTTTAAATTACTTCTATTAAAYTTAAATTGTTGTTTTTTCATATCAATCCTTCATTTAAAAAATCTTTATTTCAAAATAATTCAAACGTATTATATTTATACGAATTTTATAATACAGTAGAACTTCGATTAACCGTCACTCTCTGTTATCCGTCATCGGTCATCGCCGAAAAAAAAAATAATTAGGCGATTAGACGATTGTGATAAACTCGTCGTGGTTCCCAACACAGTAACTATCAAGTGTATAAAAATAGTTTGTAATATGTACATATAAAATATATATGAAATAATACCGTGCGAATCTGAAGAAACTGAGCCTGTTAGTGTTGAAGAAATAGTACAACTTTGTAATAATGGACTGCACAGTGAAATATTATCAACGRAAGAAGTAACAGATTGGTTAGAAAATGATAAGCAGGATGGAGGRTTTGAAATTTTGAATGATGAACAAATTATTTTGAATGTCACTGCCGTTGAAGAAGAAGAAATTGATGAGGATGTCGAAGATTCAGGGCTTGACTTAAAACCTGACTTGACAT